GGATCAGAAATTTAGGGGAAAAAAATTTGAGGGAAAAAATCAGAAATTGGGGGGAAAAAATTTGGGGAAAAATCGGGAGGGGTCCAAAGCTTCCTGTGGGTTGAAGCCGGGGGTGTCCCCAAAGTGTCCCCAGAGTGTCCCCAGAGTGTCCCCAAGGTCTGTGGGTGTCACCAGGGTGTCCTCAGGGTGTCCCCACGGTGTCCTCAAGGTCCAGGGATGTCCCCAGGGTGCCCCCAGGGTCTGCGGGTGTCCCCAAGCTGTCACCACAGTGTCCCCGATGTCCCCAAGGTGTCCCCAGGGTGTCCCCAGGGTGTCCCTGAGGGTCCCGGGGGTGTCCCCAGGGTGTCCCCAATGTCCCCAGGGTGTCCCAGAGGTGTCCAGAGGGTTCCGGTGATGTCCGGGGTGTCCCGGGGGTGTCCTGGAGGGTCCCAGGGTGTCCCCAGGGTGTCCCCAATGTCCCGGGGTGTCCGGGGGTGTCCCCAGGGTGTCCCTGAGGTGTCCCTGAGGTGTCCCGGGGGTGTCCTGATGGTGTCCTGGCGATGTCCCGGAGGGTCCTCGGGGGTCCCGGAGGTGTCCCAGGGGTGTTCCAGGATGTCCTGATGGTGTCCCCAAGGTCCAGGAGGGTCCCGGAGGGTCCCAGGGGGTCCGGGGGTGTCCCCGCGGTCCCCTCCGCTCCAGGGATGTCCCGTGGGTGTCCTGGAGGGTCCCGACGCTGTCCCGGGAGTGTCCCCGTGGTCCGGGGATGTCCCCAGGGTGTCCCCAATGTCTGGAGGGTCCCGATGATGTCCGGGGGTGTCCTGGAGGGTCCCAGGAGGTCCCAGTGATGTCCCCGTGGTCCGGTCCGGGGGTGTCCCCGATGGTGTCCCCAGGGTGTCCCCAATGTCTCAGTGATGTCCGGGGTGTCCTGGTGTGTCCCATGGTCTGGTCTGCTCCGCTCCGGGGATGTCCCAGGGGTGTCCCCAATGTCCCATTGATGTCCCGGTGATGTCTCGGGGGGGGTCCCGGGGGTGTCCTGGAGGGTCCCGGGGGTGTCCCCAAGGTCAGGGGGTGTCCCCAGGGTGTCCGGGGGTGTCCCATGGTCCCGTCCCGGTCTCACGGGGGCACCGATGGCTCCGAGTCCACGTGGCCGAGCAGGAAAAGCTCCGGGCGGGCGGCGAAACCCAAACGGCCCTGGGGGGGAGGATTAATTAGCGAGGGGTTAATGAGCTCTTAATGAGCCCTTAATGAGCCTTTAATGAGTGCTTAATGAGCTCATAATGAGTTCATGATGAGCTCTTAATGAGCCTTTAATGAGACCGTAATGAACTCCTAATTAGCCCTTAATGAACCCTTAATGAGCCTTTAATGAGCTCCTAATGAACCTTTAATGAGTTCTTAATTGGCCCTTAATGAGCCTTTAATGAGCCCGTGATGAGCTGTTAATGAGCCTTTAATGAACTCCTAATTAGCCCTTAATGAACCCTTAATGAGTGCTTAATGAGCCCGTAATGAACTACTAATGAGCCCTTAATGAGCCTTTAATGAGCGTTTAATGAACTCTTAATGAGCTCATCATGATTCCATGATGAGCTCTTAATGAGCCCTTAATGAGCCCTTAATGAGCCCTTAATGAGCTCCTAATGAACCTTTAATGAGTTCTTAATTAGCACTTAATGAGCCTTTAACGAACCCTTAATGAGCTCTTAATGAGCCCTTAATGAACTCCTCATGAGCTCTTAATGAGCGCTTAATGAACTCATAATGATTCCATAATGAGCTCTTAATTGGCCCTTAATGAGCACTAAATGACCCCTTAATGAGCCCCTAATTAGCCCTAAATGAGCTCTTAACGAACTCCTAATTAGCCCTTAATGAGCCTTTAATGAGCCCGGTTTAGTGCCAGAGAGAGTTTAACTAAGCCAAAATTAAGGAAATTTGAGCCAAAGAGAGTTTAACAAAGCCAAACTTAACAAAACCTGAGTCCGAGTTTAAAAAAACCCCAAGTTTAAGAAGGCTGAGCCAGAGAGTTTAATGAAGCCAAAATTAAGGAAATTTGACCCAAATAGAGTTTAACTAAGCCAGAATTAAGGATATTTGAGCCAGAGTTTAAGGAATCCCAAGTTTAGGAAATCTGAGCCAAAGAGAGTTTAACAAAGCCAAAGTTAAACTTGAATCAAAGAGAGTTTAATGAAGCCAAAATTAAGGAAGTTTAACCCAGAGTTTAATGAAGGCAGAATTAAGGAAAGCTGAGTCAAAGTGAGTTTAACAAAGCCAAAGTTAAAGACACTTGAGCTCAGCTTGGTTTAATGAAGCCCAGTTTAACCCCAGTTTAACCCCAGTCGAGCCCAGTTTAGCCCAGTTTAACCCCAGTTGAGCCCAGTTTAACTCCAGTCGATCCCAGTTTGACCCCAGTTGAACCCAGTTTAACCCAGTCCAGCCCAGTTTAACCCATTTAACCCCAGTCCAGCCCAGTTTAACCCCAGTTTAACCCAGATTAACCCCAGTCAATCCCAGTTTAACCCAGCCGAGCCCAGTTTAACCCCAGTTGGGCCCAGTTTAACCCAGCTGAGCCCAGTTTAACCCAGCTGAGCCCAGGTTGAGCCCAGTTTAACCCCAGTTGAGCCCAGTTTAACCCCAGTCGGGCCCAGTTTAACCCATTTAACCCCAGTCTGGCCCAGTTTAACCCCAGTTTAACCCATTCCAGCCCAGTTTAACCCCATTCGATCCCAGTTTAGCCCCAGTTGAACCCAGTTTAACCCCAGCTGAGCCCAGTTTAACCCAGCTGAGCCCAGTTTAACTCCAGTCGATCCCAGTTTAACCCCAGTTTAACCCCAGCTAAGCCCAGGTTAACCTCAGTTTAACCGCAGTTGGGCCCAGTTTAACCCAGCTGAGCCCAGTTTAACCCAGTCCAGCCCAGTTTAACCCCAGTTGGGCCCAGTTTAACCCCAGTCCATCCCAGCTGAGCCCAGTTTAACCCAGCTGAGCCCAGGTTGAGCCCAGTTTAGCCCCA